TTTAAAAAAAAAAAAAAAAAAAAAAAAAAAAAAAAGGAAATAGTTTTAAAAATTACATCATCGTTATAATTTTAAAATACATTTTTTTAATAAATAAATTATTGTATCCAATTATTTTTATATAGTTTTATTTTTTTTTTAGTATATTTTTTTTAATAATGTATTACTTTTAATATGTTTTCATGCACATTTTAAAAGTATATATATTGCATTTATGTATGCTTATGAACAAACTGTTTTTACAAAATATAAAAATTTGAAGTTATAATTTAAAATAATAAAATTTTGACAGTTATTTTAATGAAATAAAAAATACACATATATAATTATATAAATTTTTAAAATATATATTTTATAAAATATTATATTTTAAAAGGTTTCATTTTTTATGTTTTTCAATTAAAAATATATATTTTATAAATATAATTTTATTATCAAAATAAGTTTTTTGTAAATACATTTTGAATATAATATTTTTATGTTGATAAATTTATTTTCAAAATGATATTTTTTCTGCATAATATATTTTTTAATGAATAATAATTTGGAATTATTCTTTATTTTTTCATCAATAATTTCATATCATTTTTTTATATCGATGTAATTTTTTTTTTTGAGAAAAAATGGAAAATGCATTATATTTTTATTAATACAACTTTATTATTAAAGATATTTTTATCAACTTAATGGCATATTTAATATATTATTATGATAAATATATATATATATATATATATATATATCCCTTATTGTAAATTTTTAAGTAATGCAATAATACAAATAAACATATAAAATTTCATAAGTTATTTGTATATATATATTTTCGCTTTTTTTTTTTTTTTTAACAATTTTTTTTAAATTTGTTACATGTTTCTTTATATTTCTTACATACCTCATTTATTTTACATATTCATCATTGAATAGAAATGTTTAAATATTATAAATGTGCATTTTTATGTTTATGAAAAAGTATTATTTTAGAAAATTTTTCTTGTGCCTTTTTTGAAATGGAAAATAATATTCTTTTTAAAATATATAATATTAAATATTCCTTATCATATTAAACAAAATAAGTATAAAATTATTTACTGAATTTTTACTTTTTTTCCATTATTTCCTTAATGAAATACAGTAATTTATCATAAATTATATTCTTATTTTTTATTGAGAAGTGAGGCACATTTCTTGTTTATATACATATAAACATAGTTAAGTCTTGTAAATATATTTTTTATAATTAATTAAATATATATATATATATATATATATATTGAAAAAAAACTAACAATTTAATTTTATTATAATAAAAGTAAAACATCCTTTATATTATTTCAATAAAAATCAAGTAAAAAGAAAAAAATTAATTAAATGTAGAAAATTTTAGAGAAAACAAAATGACTCTAATAATTGTACACATAGCTCAAATAATTTTTTAGGCTTTGAATTATTTATTTATTTATTCATAAATTTTTATGTGTTTTTTTAATAATTTAAAAAATAAAATTATAAAAATATATAGTATATCTTTTAGCTAATATGTGAGAAAATTATGAACTTTAATATTTATTGAAATTTTGAAAATAATATAAAAATGTATTTTATATTATAAACAATAAAATTAATGAAAAGTTTTTATTTCCTTTTTTTATATTCTTATTTTTCAAAGTTTAAAAATATTCACAATCTATAAAAAAAGTAAAAATTGAATAATAATAATTGCATGATAATATAATTTTTTTGAATACATTATGTTATTTAAAAAAAAAAAAAAAAAATAAAATATATGAAAAATTTTTGAGCAAATAAAAAAAAAAAAAAAAAGTAATAATTAAACATTAATAATTAAATATAATTTAGTATATTTTTAATGAAATAATTTTGTAAAATTATTAAGTAATTTATTTGTCTTAAAACAATAATTAAAGTATAAAAAAAAACTATTGAATGTGTATATATATATTAAACAGTAAATCATTAGTAAATATAAAAAAATATATATTGAATTAACTTTTTTTATCATTAAAAAAAGAATAAAGTAATGATTGTGCATCTTAATAAAAGGAAAAAAGAAAAATAAAACTTAAAAGCTTTACATAAATAAATATATTAAGAATTTTTCAGGTAAAATAAATATAACTAAAAACTAATAAAAATAATATTATTAAAATATGTAAGACAATAAAAATATGTAAAACATCCTCAAAAAAAAATTTTATATATACAAGAGTAATATTAAAAATAATATATATTTGTTTAATGTAGATATTGACTTTTTAAAACAATAAAAATTTATTAAAACTTGTGTAATGGAATTTTTTTTTTTTTTCTTTTTTTTCATCAGATAACATTAGAAACGTAAAAAAAAAAAAAAAATTATAAATGGATTATATATATAAATATAATTACTTTTTTAATTATTAAAAATATCAAATAAAAATAATTTATTTAAATTATGTTCAAAAATGTTAAACTTTTTCATTTCGTCAATATTTTTAATATGGGATGTGTCTATTAATTCATGAAATTTATCAAAAGTTAGTTCTTTTGTTTTTACAAAATCATCATTGTTATCCTTTTCAGAAAGTATAGATTCATGAAGTTCATTTATATTTTTTACAATATTATTATTATTTTTAGAAATATAATTTTTGGAATTATTTTGATCAAATTTTTCCAATTCTTTTTTATTAATTTCTACTTTTTCATTATTTATTTCATTTTCCTTTATAGATGGCTTGTGCTCATTAATTATCTTTAATAATTTATTTCTTTTTTTATTAGGATTTTTAGAGTAATTTTTTTTTAAATTTTTAATGTTATTTCTTACATGTTCTCTTATATTATCTACTTTATTTTTATCATTACTAATACTGTATTTTTCGTTTTTTTTTTTGTTTCTACCTATATTCACTAATTCGTTTCTGTTTGTACTTTTATTCATTGTCTCATCATGAGTGTTTATCAAATTTTCATTTGAATAATGTTTCTGATTATTCTCCAATTCCATATCATTTTCATTGTTAGAAGGGCTTCCATTCATTACTTTTGAATGTTTTCCTTCATTTAATATTTTATGATAACCTTTTATGTCTTCCTTTTTACTTACTTCATCAAAATTATCGCTGATATCATTTATATGATCATTATTATTTGTTATTTCTTTATTTTCATTTATCTCATTTCCATATGTATTATTGTATCCATTAGTATGTGTTTGATTATTTTCTTTAGTTTGTGTACTTTGTTTAATATGATTATTCATGTTTGTATCATTATTATTATTATTATTATTATTATTATTATTATTATTATTATTATTATTATTATTATTATTATTATTATTATTATTATTATTGTTGTTGTTGTTATTATTATTACTATTATTATTATTATTGTTGTTGTTGTTATTATTATTATTGTTGTTGTTGTTATTATTATTATTATTATTACTATTATTATTATTATTATTTGTTTGATCGTTTTGAGTATTATTACTAAAATAGTGAATATCATTTGAATAATTTTTTGAATTATTAGGATCAATAATATTTTTTATTTCCTCTCCTGATAAGGTTTCTTTATCCAGTAATGCAAAGGCTAAATTATCTAATTCCTTTCTATGTTTTCTTAATATTTCTTCCGATAAACTTTTACCTTTTTCTACTAAATTTTTTACTTCTGTTTCTATGGTAGAAATAGTTTGAGCTGATAATCTATTGGAAGAGTATCCATCACCCATTCTTTTTTTATAATTTAAAGGTCCTAATTTATCAGACATTCCCCATTCTGTAACCATTTTGTAGGCAATTTCAGTAGCTCTAGAAATATCACTAGAAGCACCACTGCTTGTTTCTGATTTTCCAAAAACAATTTCTTCTGCAGTTCTTCCTCCCATGCAAACTGCTAGTTTTGCTTCCATTTGACTTTTAAAATAATTATGTCTGTCATCAACTGGTATTTGTTCTACATATCCAAGAGCATTTCCTCTTGAAATAATAGTTGCTTTATGAATAGGATCTGTTTTGGGATGGAGGAAATATGCAACAATAGCATGACCAGCTTCATGATAAGCGGTAATTCTTCTTTGATGTTCAGATTGTCTTAATGATTTTCTTTCTGGACCCATAGAAACTTTATCTCTAGCTTCAAATAATTCATTAATTGTAACTAAACTCTTTTTATTTCTTGTTGCTAATATGGTAGCTTCATTTACTACATTTTCTAAATCAGCCCCTGAAAATCCAGGAGTTAATCTAGCTATTTTTATAATATCTTCTTCTTTTAAATCACTTTTTATTTTTTTAATATATATTTCGAGAATTCTTTTTCTACCATTTATATCTGGTAAAGGAACATAAACTATTCTATCAAATCTACCAGGTCTAAGTAAAGCACTATCAAGAGTATCTATTCTATTAGTTGCACCTATTACCATGATATGTACACTATTACTAAATCCGTCCATTTCCACTAATAGTTGGTTTAAAGTTTGATCGTGTTCCCTTTGACCACCACCATTTATAGAACCAGAGCTTCTTTTTCCTCCAATAGCATCAATTTCATCAATAAAAACAATAGAAGGTGCAACTGACCTTGCATGTGCAAATAATTGTCTAATTCTTTTAGCACCTTGTCCTACATATATCTCTATAAATTCGGGTCCTGAAGTATAAATATATGGAACATTAGCTTCTGTTGCTACTGCTCTAGCTAACATAGTTTTTCCTGAACCTGGTGGACCAACTAACAAAACTCCTTTAGGCATTCTTGCTCCCATTTGATGATATTTTTCTCTATTTTTAATGAAATCAACTACCTCTAACAATTCTAACTTAGATTCATCTATCCCTGCTATTTCATCAAATCTTATAGGTTTAAAATGAGGAGATACATTTTTTTTTGATTGATCTTTCATAGCTACTTTTGTATCATTTTTTTTATTTTTCTCATTTCCATAATCTTTTAGTGATGTAGATGAGTTGTTTGTTCTATAATTTGAATTGTTATAGTGATCTGTATAAAATAACTTATAAGTTATAATAGTCATAAAAAAAGGCCATATTGCAAAACCAAAACATATTCCTAAAAAAAATATTATAAAATAATTCCACTTTTTATTTCTCTTTTTATTAAAAAGTTTTTCATGATATTTCAATTTTTTCTCATAATTGTATTTATTCACTCTTCCGTTATTAATATATTCATCTTCGTCATTTTGTAATAAAACAGAATCTTCTCTTTCGTAATATCTCTTAGATCCTGTTGATAAAAAACTTTCATTTTCATATTTGGAACTCATAATTTTACTTATGATATTGTTAAAATAAACATATGGATTTTTTATTTCTACCAAAAAATATATTAAATTTCTATATATAATAGAAAAATACTTAATTTTATATGTAAATTTAATTATTCCTATTAAAAGGAATTTACATATATATATATAAATGAACAATTATACAAATAAATATAATAAACAAAATTTTAAAAATTTCCTTTATTTTTTTGCATTTATATTTCTACAATTTCATTTACTACAATGTAACAATTTCATATATTAAAAAATGATATTAAAATATTTATAAATGATGAAAATTTTAATTTTTCTCATAAAAATTAAAACATAAATTCATATTTATGTTTAAAAAATATGAAGAGATTTTATTTTTAAAACGATTTTTTCGTATAAAATTATAATTTCATTCCAATTTTTTACATAAATCTAAGATTCATATTTTTTCATAATATTTCATATGAAACTATTCTTATATATTCATAAAAATACATCTAAAAAGTTATTTGTTAATTTTAATTTTTTTTTTTTTTTTTTTTTTTTTATTATAATCACAATTGAAATACTGAATATTTAAATACTTTTTTTTATTTAATTGTTTAACTTTTAATTTTTATTTCCTAATTAATGTAAATAAAAAAAAAAAAAAAAAAAAAGTAAAATACATCAATGTAAAAGGAAAAATAATGCTACAATATTATTTTTCTTTTTTTTCTTTTTTTTTTTTTTTTTTTTTTTTTTTTGTTGTATCTAATATATATTATCCAATTGTTTTTCTATTTTGTTTCGTATCCATAGAATATAAAACTATAGGCCCAAACATCGTTTTTTTTTTTTTTTAATTTTTTTTTTTTAATTTTTTTTTTTTTTTTTTTTTTTTTTAAATAAAATATACTAGAAAATACAATTACATTTTATTTTCATCTTTTTTATCAAAACCCTAAATATACAATAAATTAATAAAATATATTGTTTTTCTTTTATATGTATATTTTATTTCCTTTCCTTTTGATAATTTTTTGTTTATTTTATTGCATTTTCTCAAGTTTTATAATTTTTGAAATACTTTTTATTATTTATTAATCATTTTAATAATTTATTTTATTTATTTTTTTAAATATTTTTTATGTTATACATTTTTAATTTATTATACATGGGTAATTTATTTTGATGTATTAAATAAAATTACAATTGATGTTTTATTACATACATATTTTTTCTTTGTTTTATTATATATTTACATTTTTCCATTTTAAAGTCATTTTTTTGTAGTATAACTTTTTTAAATCACAATAATTTTAATAAACTTACTAAATCACAATAACATTTTTTTTTTATCTGAATTATATTTTTAATATAATTTTTATTTTTTTGATATATTTTACAAAATACATTCTCCTTTCAACTTATTCTTTATATAATCCCATTATCTTTATTGTTGATAAAATGTCTATTTTCAAGGTTCATTTAAAAAAATTAAATTGTAATATAAAAAATAGGTTTTTCTCCTCGTTAAATAAATTAAATAATGTTAAAGATTTCCATGATGAAATAATAAAGTGTATAGAAAAAGTGAAAGAAGTAAATCCATTAGTTCACTGCATAACTAATAGGGTTACAACTGAAAAAATGGCAAATAGCTTACTAGCATTTGGTTCATCTCCTGCTATGATTGATAATCCTAAAGAAGTCGAAGAATTTGCTAAAGTATCATCTTGCACTTATTTTAATTTAGGTTTGCATACAAGTCAAATAGATAACATAAATGTATTAGAAAAATTAAGAAAAGAAATAATGAAAGATGATTTAATTTTAATAATAGATCCAATAGCTGTAGGAGCAACGAAATATAGAACAAATATTATTAAAGAGATAATTTTAAAATGCAAACCAAATGTTATTAAAGGTAATGTAGCTGAAATTTTTTATTTAGATAAAGAAGAATTTGTTGGAAAGGGTGTTGATAGCAATAATAGCTCACTTAATGAGGCAGATATAATTAGAAGTGCAAGAAATGTAGCTTTAAAATATAATTGTACTGTTGTTGTTACATCAAAATGTGATTATATTGTAAGCAAGTGTTCTCATAATATAGCTAAAATTAACTGTGACTTAAAAATTTTGACAAAAATTACAGGCTCAGGTTGTTCAGTTGGTGCATTGTGTGCTGCAGCAACTTCTGTAAATTCTCAAAATTCATTCATAGCTTGCACATCTGCTACTCTTATTTATAAATTAGCCGCCTTTAAAGCATATAAGAAAGAAACTTATCCTGGATCTTTAAGTCATAAAATTATTGATTATATATATTACTATTCAAATAATCCTCAATTTTTAAATTTTCAAGTGTTAGATTTTTACAAAATCATTTAAATCAAATTTTAGAGAAACTTTTTTTTTTTTTTTATTAATATGAAAAACTAAACTAAATTTTATAAATATTAATTTTATAATATAAATATTCCTAATTTTTTTTTTTTTTTTTGTTAATCACTAAGCATAAAGATAGTTTAATATATTACAAAGAATTAAAAAATAAAAAAATATTTGTTACATATATAAGTATTAATGAAAAATTGGAAACACCTAAAATAATTAAGATAAAAATATATATATATATATATAAATAAATAATATATTCTTACTATAAAAATACATTTAGTATATATAAATAGGAGTCATGACATAGCTTATTTTTTTATCACATTATTTTATACAAAGTTAAAAAAAAAAAGTCATAGAAGATATCTTTATTGTTTTAATATTCTCTTATAATTATGAGTCTTAAACTATGAAAATCTTCATTGTTAAATTAAAAAAGCAAATCAAAAAAAAAAAAAAAAAAAAAAAATATTA